GATAAAGAAGATGTGGAGGAAAATAAAGAAGAAGAAGAGGCTCAGACATATGATGCAGAAATGGTTGATGAGAAAAAAGATGAAACCGAGGCAGATGAAAACAAGGAAACTGAGGAGGAGATCAGTGAGACTCAGGTTGAGGAAGAGATCAGTGAGACTCGGGTTGAGGAAGAGATCAGTGAGACTCGAGTTGGAGAAGAACCTGAGGACATTGAGAAACTAGAGAAAGAAGCTGAGAAAGAACCCGAGGAAGAAGAGTGTAAAAAATACACGGAGGAGGAGAAAGCAAGATGGATTCTTACAATTTTTAAGAGCTATGATGGAACTCCTCATTCTTCTGTTGTGGATCAGACGGATGAAACTCCTCCTGCTCATGTTCTTGTTCAGACGGATGGAATGGCTGGAACTCATTCTCCTGTTGTGGATCAGACAGATGGAACTCCTCCGGCTGGAACTCCTCCGGCTGGAAATCTTCATTCTCCTGTTACACCACTACGTGGTAGGACAAAGGCAATGGCCAAGAGGACAGAAGGACTAGGTACACCAATTGGTAAAAGGGTACATGTACCATCACAGTGGCTTTCCTCTCCTTTTATGGAAATGAATACCGATGAGATCGAAGGGCCAAAGAAGAAGCCTAAAACCAAGGCTTAGAAAGACTGTTGGATGTTTAATATTTTGGATGTTTGATATTTTATTAATTCAGCGTTGTAGTGAACTTGTAGGATGGTATGTGTTAACATATGCTTTGTTTATGTGAAACCCATGCTTTGTTTATGTGAAACATTGGAAGTTTGTTATTTTGGATTTGTATGATTGTGTTGAAACAAGTTCGGACTAGTAATACAAGGTTTTTAATATGCCTAAAAATTTAAATTTGTACTACTAGGTATTACTAGGAAATTATCAATATTTTATAAAACAAAACATTTAAAACGTGCAAAACACGTGTAAAATGAGTAAAACATTTCCAAACCACATGTAAAACGTGCAACACACGTGTAAAACGTGTATAGACATTCCCAACATAGTAAGACCTAAGGTTGTAGTAATATTACGTTCTTCATAGTAATACATTTTCAAAATTTCAACATTTATTTGTAATACCACATCTGAAACAAAACTTTTGTAGTAAAACAACATCATTTAGACAGTTTAACATTGAATACAAAACATTGGTAGAAAAATATTTCAGAAAAAATGTATTTTGTGTTATTCACTTCATTATGACCTTTCCATAAAGACATTAATCATATAAGTATAAGGAAGTTTTATATGGAAATGCGAATTTTTATGGACTTTATGAAATTTCTAAAAAAAATTTGTCTACTTTTATAAAAATATATAGACATATAAAAACAATAAAGTTACATATGATAAAAACAAATAATAAGACGAAAATATAAGTTTTTAGAGAAACATGCATATTACGAATAGTAGCTATAAGTAATACTAGTAGTCCATAAAACAAATAGTAGTTCAAGGTAGTTCTGAGTAGTCCGAACAACACATAGTAATCCCAGTAATCCTAGTAGTTTGAAAAGCACATAATAATACTAGTAATCTGAATAAACAACTTTCAACAGTCAAACTCCTGAACCTGAACCACTTCCACATTCAAAATACGCTGCCATACCTCCGAACAACACATAGTAATCCCAGTAATCCTAGTAGTTTGAAAAGCACATAATAATACTAGTAATCCGAATTAACAACTTTCAACAGTCAAACCCCTGAACCTGAACCACTTCCACATTCAAAATACGCTGCCATACCTCCTCCTCTGGCTCTCTCTGTGCATGTGGCTCTCCATGTGCCTGTGGCTCTCCCTGTGCATGTGGCTCTCCCTCTTCCACTCCCTCTACCTCTTTTTCCTCTTCCACGAGATTCTTCCGCTGATGGAAACCTTGTTTGTTGCGGTTTTCCTTTCTTGACTTCAAATTCTGGAGGAAGTATTTTCATTGCTCTAACTTCTTCTGGTATAATCCAATCAGACATATGAGGAACATGATATATTGTTCTGTGATAAGCCAAAGTCCATTGCCCTACCAAATAGTACTCAGAACAATATTTAGATAGATGGAGTTCCTTTCCCGCTTTATCCGTCATGAATGTTGCAGCTGCTACTGCATGAACACATGGGTATTTGTCTTTATCAAATTGCTCACAGGTGCACGTCTTCATAGCCATGTCCACGGTATAATGCTTCCCGTCACTACCATGCACACTATACTCGAGATGGTAGCTATTTAACTCGTCAACCGTAAGAAACCCTGCCTCAACACATCTTTTAGACATTTCCGTCTCGAGAATAGGCACAAGCTTTAGTGCGGGTGGTATTTCAGCTGCCTCCTTCATGTGCTTGTTAAACCATTCAGCAATTTTTCCAATGATAAAATCAAACATTGGAAGTAAGGTTGAACTTTCTTGCATCCTTAATAAAACCGTTAAAAGATTCTGCTGAATTGGTGGTGTCATCGTTGTACCTATCTCCTTCAAAGTAACATCTAGCCCATTATTTTGATCACAAGTAGTGTCAAGATACTCCGCTGCATTAGGATACTTCCTGCAAAAAGCGCCATAAAGGTCCAAGAACTCAGCCTCTGTATAAGCATATGCGCACTCCATAAACTTAGATGCACATGTAGCTCTGTTGTTATGGACGTAGCCTTTAACATTTTGAGACAAATGCCATATACAATACCCATGAGCGGCCTGAAGGAACACTAGACATACTGCCTTGATCAAGCCTTTGTTTCTGTCCGAAAGAAACACCAATCCAGGAACATCAGATATCACTGATTTCAACTGTTCCATAAACCAGAACCAACTCTCAAAGGTCTCACCACCTGCAACACCAAACGCAATTGGGTAGTGGTGATGATCGGGATCCTGAGCAGTTGAAACTAGTAACACTCCACCATAAACAGTTTTCAGGTGCGTTGCATCCACAGCGAGGATTTTTCTCATTGCTCAGAACCCTTGTATGATAGCTCCCAAAGCCCAAAACAGATACTAAAATTTTTTTCCCTCATCCACAACCACACGAGTTACTGTGTCAGGATTTATCTACTCCAGCATGTGCATATAACAATATAATAATGTATAACTCTCTTCAGGAGTTCCACGCACTTTATTAGCAGCTAGTCTTCTTCTTCTATATGCTGTTGTGTACGACACATCCACAGCAACCCTGTGATGAACCAAATCGATCAGAGCACTGGGATGTGGTGTGTCAAAACGGCCGGGATAATCTTGAGCCAGAATAGATGCAACAATTTATGGTGTGCCTCTCCTTCTATTAGGCAGTGTTCTTGTGGTAACAACAGAACATCTATGCTGCTTGATGTAACTTCTAACTGACCAAAGATCTGAATTCGTTAACTTTGCAACACGCACAAACCACTTGCAGCCTTCTTTGGATCCTCGACATTTTATCACATATCTCTTAGTATCCGACTGAATTACCTTATACTCAAAACACTTCAAATGTGAAGCCATCTGAATATGAGTTTTCGTTTCCTCCTTGGTTCTAAATTCTTGATCTAAAACCAAATCCATACCATCATCCCACTCCTTAAAGACAACTGGTGTGACTTCAACCGAGGGTTCTGCTTCTCTTTCGGTGACATTCTCATGCATCTCAATGTCTTCGTAATGTGTGAGCGCGCCACCAGTACCTTCATTATCAATTGCTTCCTTCTCAGTACCATCTTCATCACCACCCTCAGTCCCAGTAGCCTCTGTTTCAGTAGCCTCTCTATCAGTAGCCTCTCTTTCAGTAGCCTCTCTTTCAGTCGCCTCTCTATTTGATATACCGCCATAGAAATCAATGTCATCATCTATTTTGTAGAACTCCACATGTAGAACACTTCTACAGTTCTCTTGATTTACTTGCATTAGATAACTGAAAACGTCTTCATCCTCCCAGATATATGATGGCTTGTTCGAATATATTACCATTGGAAAGTAACTAATCTTTGCTTCCATCTTATAGTCATCTACCTTTATCTGTCGGCAAATACGCTCAACCAAAACAGAGCGTGTGATCTCCTCCACTGATTTCTTCAACACAATAGTGTGAATTTCATTTTCCCCTTTACCATCTCCTGAAATCCATTTCATTTCAGTCCATTCTTTAATATAATATCTTCCATAATCAAAATAAATGATTGTACATTGCGGATTTTGCATTTTCCTGAAATAAAAATGAATTATAATTACAGTTATCATTATTAAAAAGTTACATTTAATTCCGACGATATACACTCTTAATAATACTACTTTTTCATACTAAATACATAGTAAAATCAGTAATACTAATAATATTTGTATGCATAGTAATACCAGTAGTATCAGTAATACCACTTTGCCTTAGTAAAACCAGTTATCTTAGTAATACCCAAAATTTATCCTTGCATTAATTAGTCAACTTTTAGCCCTTTTTTATTCGGATTTTGCGTTACCCATGATATATAATTCATATTAATGAAATTAAAACCAAGAAATCATCAAAACAGGCTAAAAACATACATAAAATATACCCTAAAACCCATACAGAAGTTAAAATTTGCATTAAATCTTTCTTTTGTTACACAAACCGATATATACACTTATTTTTATAAGTATTCCAGCTAAATTTCATCAAAAACAGACATAAATTATAACCTAAATCCATATACACAGTTTTTAAAATCGTTTTCTCTCGCAAATTTTCATCAATTCTTACTTTTTAGGTTACCCATGGTACACACAAACATTTAAAAGATATTTTCCACAAAATTTCATGAAAAACGGACAAGAATTACCCGATGTTGAAGCTTTAAAATTGCTAATGAAGAGTGGAGAAGAAGACTTTCACGCGGAGAGCAGAGAGGAATATGAAAACATGTGGGACAAAGAAAATTTGATTGGTTAAGGTTGTTCGTGGAACTCATTTGGTTGAGTTTGGTTAGATAAAATTTAATTGAAAAATTAAATGAATTAATGAAGTGGAGAAAAGATATATTAAAGAAATAAAGATTAGTATAGGGAATTCAAAGATAAAGGAGTATTGAGAATAAAAGGGGATAGGAAGAAAGATTTTTTTGCGATGAGAGCATTTGGAGTTACTCTACTATAATTTTCTCTAAAGACAAGCTTAGTTGTTAAGTAAATAAAAATCTCGAACAAAACGGAACAAAGGACAAGCTGAGTTGTACGACATCGGTGCTTTGGTCTGTAAACCAAAACTAAACATTAAATAGAGATAGTGACGAGAAAATTATGTTTATTCCTCTTCAACAATCTTACTCTTCTCGCTAACATAAATACCATCAAGGAACTTCCTGATATCCTTCTTTTTCACGTGACATTTCTGCACATTTAATAAAAATCCATATCGATTACAAAAAAGCCCTTACACAAATGGTGTAAAACTAATCAGTGAAGTGGTTTCACTATACAAAATGAGGTTCGGTCTAAATCAGGAGACAAACAAACATAGTGCAAACTAGACAGAATTTAAACAAGAGTACTTTTGCAGTCAATATTTAAACAAGCCCACCTTAACTAAAGTTTCTGATCGGTCAGTGAATGTAATGCCAAATTCAAACATCATAACCCAAGAAACTTTCTAAATACGAGTACGAGACTAGCACCAAATGTTTTCGTAGTTGATATTGTACAGATGGTAACTCAAGTTTCAGAGCATTGAACATATGGTCTACCAGAGCACGAGTGAATCAAGACCACTTATAATATACAAAAGAAATACCAAATTTCATCTATAAAAAAAAACTGAAAAAATCGTATAAACTTAACTAAAACAGTATGGTGTCTGCTTGCTAGTAAAAGAATATACCTGATTGATAAGAGCGCATGACCTCGACACAAGCTCAATGTCATTACCATCAAGAACAATCTCATCCTTAACTTTCTCAGACCGAACAATGGTTACACCATCCAACATCTCCACCTTTCTCACCTGTTGTTCAAAAGTTCAGTGACCATTCTACGGTGATAAATGTGGATTCCGAGAATAAGAAAACAAACCTTCTTCTCGCCAAGGAAGTTACGGATCTCGATAGACTTGCTGTCACCACCGATGGAAGCGTTGATGGGAAAATGAGCATACACGAACCTCATCTTGTATCGGAAACCTCTTGTGACACCGGTGATGAGGTTATCGACGTGGCTAAGAGCGGTTCTGATGGATGCGCTTGATTTTCGAGATCCGAACCACGAATCGATCTTGAGCTTCTTTTTCCCAGTCTCCGCGTCTTTGATGAGCTGGAAATCGAGGTTGAGATGCTTGAAGTCGCGAACGAGCTTCCCGCGAGGTCCTTCCACTTCGATCACCTTGGCGTTAACCTTGATGCTAACGCCTTCTGGAATGTCCATCGTCTCAGAAGAAAGAATCGTCTTCATCGTCTCCTCACTTTTTCTTCTCGCTCACTCTTGCTTTCGTCTACACAACTAACCAGCGGCAAAGAACTTAAGTCTACTATAAGCAGAAACCCTAATAATTTACGTGCGAGTGTCTAAAATGGGCCGGCCCAATCCGTTTGACCTATATGAGGCCAGTTTTTTATATTTGTTTTTTTATAAACAAACACCTAGAGCTGTATGAATATTCGAAATTTTCGATGAATTTCTGAAAAATTCTACGAAAAAATTCTAACAGAAAATCCGATGAAATGTATGACTCTTTTATAACGTTAAAGTTAAATGTCTCCGTCTGGAATCTGTCGGAATTATCCTCAATTTTATTTTATAAATACAAGCTTCTCTCATCTGTATTAATAAAATAGAAGTACCCATATAAAATACCCCTTAGTTTTCACTTTTATTTACAATAGCATGCCATTATTAATTATTCTATCTTATAAGATTCTTTATCTTTTCACTTTAATTAATGCATTTCCAAAATCAAATTTTAACTAAACAAAATTATGGCAACAATAATTAATGAAAATAATTATTTTCATATATACCTTTCGTAATTAAATAAATAAATTCTATAGAAATTGTTTTACAAATTCCATATACAGAATAATTAATTCCAATATTAATTAACCTACCTTTTAGGATTTTTTTCTTATTAATTATCTACATATCTTTAAATAGTTAATGAACAATATTGTTTCCAAAGATATATAATTATATTTTATTATTTATAAGTAATAACTAAAATAAAAGTCACAAAAAGAAACATTTATATAATATATAATACATAGATTAATATAAACACTAGGTAATAATCTGCGCCTTGCGCAGAATGAGATGATTATTTTTGTTACATTTAAGATAAAAAGGATAATATGTCTATTTAACATGGATCTTAGTTCATTTTTACATTGTTTTATTAAATGTCCTAAAATATAACTATCATTCTAAATCTATATTTATTTTGGTTTGTTTAGTTTAAATATTTGATGTCTTTAATTTTTTCGATGATAACCAAAAACTCTTGTTATTTGTTTGGTTTCGTTTTATATAAATTTAGACATTTTTATGTCGAACTAATAGTTTTCTAGTATAATTTCTAAACACATGTAAAATAAAATAAAATAAAATTTAAATAATATTTGAAAAAAAAATTATTAACACAAAACCTTTCACTATAATTTGAGCGATAGTGAAAGAAAATATTAAAAAATAAAATTCAACTTCAATAAGAATTAAAATTCTCACTTGTGGTGAATATTTAGTTATATAGTCGTTCATGTAAATGTGTACATATATGTATATGTAAAAGTCTATAAATGTGATGATAAATATATGAATATACCGTTAATTAAGATTTAAAACATTTTTTGTTCAAAATAACACATGATAGTAAATTCTTAAATAAAATTAAGTAAAATAAAACAAACCTAAAAATTAATAACATTTTTTCATATGAAGAAAATCAAATTGTACCCGTAAACAATAAAATAATATATATTACAAAGTGACATCTTCACTTGACACCTGGTTTTTTAATTGATTTTGTGAATTTTATTTCTTTTAAAGCTTTTTTGATTTATGATTATTTTCTACCAATTTGATTTTGTTTCTAATTCTTGGTCTGATATAAAAACTTTATAAAAATGTTAATATTTGACTAAACTAAAGATCCGACTTTACGTGTGGTGTTTTTCACCTCAGTTTCTGTAATTCATAATCAATCACTGTATTTGTTGTTGTTTGTGTACCGAAGCCTCAACATGACCAACTTCGGCAAGGTACGAAACTTTCAATTTCTACAAACATTTTTATCGCAACATTTTAGTTGATACGAATCTTAATGATTTTGTAATTTTTTTTTACAATAAAGATATTATTTATTAGTTTCACGTAGAAAGTTTTAATTTATTAATACAAAGGCTAAAAATTGTAGGAAAATGAATTAATTAAAAATAGTGTATAAAAATATTAAATGTAAAATTAAAAAATTAGTTTGTGAACGCATTTATTGTCAAATGATTGTAAGGCCGACACGTGTCAATTACGGTGTGAAATCATTTATTACAATGATTCTCTTTTAATATATAAGGGATATTATGTTATGTATATTTTTATATAAATAATAGTTCAAGGTAAATTCAGAATAATAAAAGTTAAAAAGTAGAAATATATAGGACCATATATTTTAAATAGTAGATACATCAATTTAGTTATACATTATCAAAAAAATAAAATAAAATAAAAACATTTTTGCAGATATACGGGTCATATTTTTAAAATAAGTATGACACAATGATAGTTTATGAGATAAAATAAAATTACTCAATATAAATTATAAAATTGTGTGTATGAAATGTCGTTTTAAACAATTATTTAAACGGATAAATTTAGAAATATATATTATCACTTATAAAATATATAAAAACAAACACTTGCACGGATCAAACAACAAAATTCTCGGTATTCTTCTGTCAAAATTAAACCCATAAGTAATTTGTAACCTTTTAATTGATACTTCATTTTTTATTTTAAAATTTTTAATCCAATTGTTTTGTATACTAAAAAATTTATATAATTTGAACATCAGGCTTTTTCTTAGAAATATTATAACTAATTTATCATTTTTTGTATACCATATTAACTCTTACTTCTCAAGATTTGATGTATCTTTAACTAAATTTTTTTTTTCAATATATCATCTACATGTTAGATTTGTTTGTATGATACCCAATATTTTTGATACAATAAATTGTTAACACACACAAAATAAAACTTAATGTAATACAATTAATTTTTACAAAAATTTCATCTTATATAAAAATTTAAAAAATAAAATTAATACCCGTGCGGTCGCACGGGTCAAGGTCTAGTTTTCTTTATTCTCTCTTTATTCTCTTAATTTACTACAAAACAAGAGAAAAAAAGGAAATCATATCTTTTTCAAATTATTTTTCATTCGTGGATAGATAAACCTCAATAATCCAACCACAAATATACTTATGGAAGAATATGCAGAAGGCATTAGCCAATTCATGAGGTTTCCTCGACAACAACCAAAAGTAAATGTCGGTATGTTAAGATGTATGTACAATTAAAAAACATTTCGAGCTTCTCAGCTTATCTTTGATGATGACTCATCGGCTTTCAACAACTTGTCCCGAGTTCAAATAAACGAAATGGTGGAAGAGGTAATTTTTCAATTTTCATTTAATTAATATTTTATTTAAGTTATTTTATTTTTCTAGGCAGTTCCAAAAAAAGAAAGTTCATTTGGTCCGGTTGGTTCGCCGTGCCTCTTCTTGTCTTTCTTCTTGACAAGCATGCATGTTGATCTCATGATTATAGAGAAGCTGTAGAACAAGGATGATCGGATTGTAAAGTTGAAAACATAGAACGCTACAATTTATGCTCAAGTGGAACAACAGAATGCTGAAATGGTGGAACATAAAGCAGAAGTTGCAGAGACTATGAGGATTAACCAGGAAATAAGGGACAATATAAAGCGGTTGTTTCCGATGGAATTTTAAATTAAAAATAAACTTTTAAATTTTTATTTTAATTATGTAAAAATTAATTTCTACAATATTTGTTTTCAGTTTCAGTTTTTATTTGATTTATTTAATTAAAATGTAAAAGAAATTAAAATATATAAATATTTTGAAAATAACAATTATATAGATCTCGATGAACAAATATTGGTCAGAAATTTTCGACCAAACATTTTCGTCGTAATATTCTGATGGCAAAGGGTCGTCGAAAATTTATGACCCAAGCCGTTCATCGGAATTTTTTGATGGAAAAAGCTTCTCGGAAAATTTTGCCAAGCTCGCCGGAAAATTTAAAGGAACAGTCTCATCAAAAAAATCTGACGGAAACTCGTCGGAAAATTTTGACGAATTAAAGTGTGGTCGGAAATACAGCCATCCACATTTCGGATAAGCTAATTTGGTCAAAGTTTTTTTTTTGAAAGATTACTATCAACGTTTGCCAACGGCTTCATTCGTTGGCTATCTGTCGGAAAGTGGTCATCATAATTTATCAGAATTTCTAACGGATTTCTGATGAAGTTTTTTTCGATGAAACCATTATGATGACAATTTTCATCATAATTTTATCGAAAATGTTGTTTCCTGATGGAATTCCGTCGAGATTGTCCATCAGAATTCACCTATTTTCTTGTAGTGATTGTTTTGGGTTTTAAACATATACGATTTTAAGGGGGTATCACAAAATTTAAAGGAATTTGATTCAAGACGTAAGGTGCATTAAGTGATAGAAAACTGGTAATTGAATGTTAATAGAAACAAAGATTCGTTTCAGTCACTGTAACAGATCTATGGTATTAACAGAAGCCATGGGGGATATTGTGTGACTGAAGGAGTCGTAAGTGGTGAAGCTTATAGGAATTTCTGTTGGCTTAACAAGTTGGAGGTTGTTCTTAGCTTGTTATATGGAGTATGCTAAGTGGTTGTATCAGATGTTCTGATGCCACAGGTTCAGCTATGTGAAAGGAAAGAGCTGAAGGTGCATTGATTTAATTTGATATGCATGAAAGATACATCAGATTTATGGTGCTTTAATCTGAAGAGTATCAAGGCTGAATCATGACGTGGGTGTAGAAAGCAACTAAAGAGAATTAATGAAGAAGTTAAGCTTTGCACAAGTTATGTTGGAGCTGGTTTTGTAATTTGATGGACAAGAAAAGGTTAATGGCTTGGGAAAGGCATGGTGATTCACATTACATCTAGAGTAAATTAAACTGGTTGCTAGTCCATTGATGGTTTCTTAGGCACTTAGGATTTGATAGGAAGAGAAGTCTACAAGTCATGAGATACTGAGACAGCTGAAGTGCGAGATGGTTTGTCAGTTACCACCTTGATGCAGGAAGAAGTTCAAATGGTCAATTCTGGGAAAATGATAAAAGGTTCAGATGGTCAAATCTAAAGAGAAAGTCTGGAGCAGTTCGGTTCTAGAGATGAGAAGACTTTCTCTC